CTTCACAACATTTCTGAAAAACAATTCAGCGGCAACATCAGCCGAGCACGCTTTCGGTGCACCAATAAATACAGCATACTTAGAAAATCTATCAACAATTACGAAAACAGAAGCCATTCTATCGACCTTAGGGAATTTCGAAATAAAATCTATTGAGACATATTGTTATGGTCGATCAGGGATCGGCAAAAGTTGCAACAAGCCCCGCTCCTTCTTCCTTTCTACCTTGTCTTGTTGACACACAAAACATGTTTTCACGTATGCCTCAATATCTGCTTTCATCTTTGGCCAGTAGAAGTTCCGCGACAGTAATGCTCGCATTCGTTCCACTCTGGGGTGACCAATCCAAGGAGTGTCATGGGTCTCTCGCAGCAACTGTCGCCTAAACCCCTCTTTTGTCAGGATATAAGTTCTACCGCCCTTGGCAAAGAATAGGTTGTCTTCGAGCCAATAACAACGAACCTTGCCCTTACGGACTTGGGTGATCAGAGTCTGGTACATTGGATCATTTGGGAACTCTGACTTAATCTTGTTCCGAAAGTCCGTTTTCACAATGCTGAGAGCCGCAACGTATTCTTCGACGTAGTTTCGGCTAAGTGCGTCGGTGACCGCATTCTCTCTTCCTGGCTTGTGCAGCCAGTCAAAATCGAATTCGGCCAAAAACTCCTGCCAACAAGCTTGCTTCGGGGTCAACTTTATCTGTGTTTTGAAGTACGTATTGGCCACATTGTCGGTGACCACCATGAACTTGGTTCCCAATAGGTAGTGCTTCCATGTCTCCAGGCAATGCACTATGGCCGTCATTTCTTTCTCGTGTGTGCTATATCTCTACTCGCACTCCTTCAGCTTTCAGCTCTCGAATGAATTGGGTACTTGTCTTGCATCAGCACTTCTCCAATCGCACGATCTGAAGCATCAGTGTGCACTTCGAATGCCTTTGTAAAGTCTGGAAATTGCAATACTGGCGCAGAAGTGACTATTTCCTTCAACATTCTGAACGCATTCGCGCATTCATAATCCCACATCCACGGTCTATCATTCTTCAACAAATCCGTCAAAGGGGTCACTATCTTGGAGTATCCTTGGATGAAACGTCTGTAATAGTTGGCCAGACCAAAGAACGATCTCAGTTCTACGACTTTCTGGAGTGCGGGCCAATCAAGAATGGCCTCGACCTTCCTGCGATTCATCTCAATCCGACCATTGCTCACCACATGACCAAGGAAAGTGATTTGCTCCCTACCAAACTCACACTTTTCCTTCTTTACATAGAGCTCATATTCTCTCAACTTACAAAATACGTCTCTCAAGTGCCCTACATGTTCTTCTAGGGACTCCGAACATACAACAATGTCATCTAAGTACACTACAACAAACTTGTCAAAAAATTCATACAAGACATTGTTCATCAGCCCACAAAATGTAGCAAGTGCATTCGTCAAGCCGAACGGCATGGCAAGAAATTCGAATGAACCATACCTTGTCACCACCGTCATCTTTTCCTCATCTCTTGGGGATATTCGGACTTGCCAGTATCCCGATCGCAAGTCAATTTTGGTGTAGAATCGACCCCTCGCCAGCTTATCGAACAAGTCAAATATATTTGAGATCGGGTACCTGTTCCTGATCGTAATCTTGTTTAGGGCACGGTAATCCACACAGAATCTCAATGTTTCGTCTGCCTTCTTCTGGAACAATGCTGGGGCACCGTACGGAGCCTTCGATGGTCTCAGCGCCTGGCTCTCTAGCAACTCATTCAGTTGGCGCCGCAACTCCGCCAACTCCATCGGGGACATGCGGTAAGGAGTCTAGGCAGGGGGTTGGGCTCCTGGCACCAACTCAATTCGATGTTCCACAGCACATCTAGGAGGCAGCTGCCTAGGCAACTCAGCAGGCATCAGGTCTGCGAATTCCTCCAACACATACGCCACGACATCTGGTACTTCCTGGTACATGTCAGGCTTTGTTTCCACCAATACGGCGATATATACAACTTTCCTGCGCCGAAGGCTGGACTCAATTTGTACAGCCAACACCATGTTCTTTCGTTGGTTGCTCTTTTGTTTGGCAACCTTACTGCAGGGACAAAGCCTGGACTTTGGTCGTCGTCCACCATAACGCCGTCCAAGTAGGGAATTGGGTAGATCCTGTTCACAACCATGAAATCCTTGCCTAGGTTCAAGTCAAAATCGTCCATTTGACTGACCATGAGACTACACCCATCCCTTCCATGGTCCCAACTCCAATTCTACTGTCGTTACACCCAATACTGGCTCGGCTTTCGAGTTGAATGCCTTCAACTTAAAGCCTAAATCTTTCAACTTTAACTGGAACCGCCTAATCACGCGTTCCGTCACACAACTGTGCGATACTCCCGTATCCACCATCGCCAGTATCTGGTTACCATTCAACGTAATCTGCACATACATCAAACCATTGCAAGTAGTGTGATCATTAGTACCTGTGATGGCGTTCACGAGCTGCATGGGGTTGACCCGTGTGTCCTGCATCTCTAACTGGTCGTCATCATCTTCTGCTATTAAGGCACTAACGTTCAGATCCTTCTTTTTGTTGGGGCAATTACGAGCCAAGTGTGGTCCTCCGCAATTAGCAGCTATCCTTCTTCGGATTTGATGCTGGCTTTTTCTTAGAAGAAGAAGCACCACCGGCTTCGATTGTTATCATCGATTGTTTCTTTTTCTTCTTCTTTGAAAACGTCCCACCTTTCTGGTCTTTAACCTTGTCCTTGTCCTTCTCTTTCTTCTTGTCGTTAGATCCCATGGACTTGAAGTCTATCAATTTCTTTGGGGTAGCGAGTGCTTAAGACACGGTCTGAACATTCAGTCTCAACAACTCCATCTGCGCCCACAGCTATAGTCCACGGATGAAGGTGTAGAGTTTGTCTTCCTCGGACATCTCCTTCACATCCAACATCAGGGTCTGGAACTCAGCAACGTACTCGTGTACACTCTTACTCTGCTTCAAGTTCCACAATGCGTCTCGAACTTTTCACGAAACATTCGTGGGAAGGAATTGTTTCTTCAACTCCTTCTTCAACATGCCCCAAGTCTCAATCTTGGGTCTGGTGGGGTCTGATTGCATCGTTCTCCACCATAGTTTTGCATCACTGCTAAGGTACATGGATGCAATGGATACCTTCTCTCCTTCTGGAATGTCAATAGTCTTGAAGTACTGTTCGACATCCCACAAGAAATTTTCTAGATCCTTCGAACTCCTACTCCCCTGGTACGGTTTTGGTTCTGGGACTTTAACTTTCTCTTTCGAAGATTTCTGAACGGTTTGTGTGTTAGAAGAGCCAACAGCTTTCTTCAACACACCGATCTCCGACTGTAAAGCCACGATCTCAGCATGGGACAAAGTCACTTCATTCCTTAGCGTCTCAATATCCGCAACGAAAGAGACCTTCTGCCTGGTTTCCTCCATCTGCACTGTTAGGGCGTTGATCGTCTCTTGGGTCTACAACAGAGCATCCACGACATTCAAGCCTTCTGGAACGTCTTTCAGACACTGCATCAAGTCTTCGAACGCCAGTTCCTGACGTTGCAACTGCTCTTGGACAGTATTTTCGTGTTTAACCATCATTACCTACAAAACAAACACAACAAAATCATGGTCTAATGGATTAGAACCATGCTCTGATACCACGTTGTTACGGGGTGTTTCCTCTCACTAGCCAAACATGCACGTAATGGCACTGGTAAGCCATGCTACCAGTCAACCTACACAAACTCACTCGCACACAAGTATTCAGAACGTAGAACACTTAGGCAAAATAAAGGAACACACGCACAAGTTACAGTCAACATGGCCAATCTTGTATTTCACAATAACGATTACAAGGAATTCCTACAAACACTTGGCGTGCAGAACATCTAAGGGTGATTCTCACTATTCGAGACTCTCTACCCTTTAGTCTCTGCCTAGCCCTTTATTTATAGGCTACTTTATGATTGACAAGACCCAACTGTTGGTCTGATCCAAACGTCAACAAAGTTAGGTACCCGTTAAGAACAAAGTTGAGTTGGCTGGTAATCGCCAGTAACTCCCAGCAACGGTTAGCAACTACCCAACGTTCCTCTTTGGCGCCCACAGCCAATGGCCGCACACTTCTGCGCGCCTAGCTTTCCTGCCATCGACAACGTTCCATGCCCAACTTGCCCCAACGCTTAGCAACTTAGGCACCGTGATTCCTAGCACTTGGAACCATTCAAAACAACCCACTGAGCCATAGTCATTCCGTGGCCTTGGCCCCCAACCCTTAGTCTTGACTTGATTTAGTCACAGTTATCCCTTTATATATATGTCCTAAAGGAAAATTTAGGACCGTTAGTAGAAGCACCCTTTTTTCCCCCACTAATATAGAGACATTTGATGCCTCTAAAACTTTCCCCAACCCATACTTAGGCTAGGAAAATATCATCAAACAGTTGGCCACTCGTTTCCAACTAAGTTCACCTTCGGCCTTCCCACCCAGGTCATGGCTGGCCGAAAGATGCCACAGCCACACGCGTTTCGTCTGGACCGCGCCTAAGGGGCTGACACTAGTCCACTTGATAATTATAGCAGAGGTTCATTTTAGTAACCGTGCACGACCTAATCATTGTCTAATCTTGTATGTATCAGTGTAAACATTTCTTTTACTACTAGGCAAAGTCCATTGGTTTAAATGCATTTCTTTCTTTATAGGTGCTGTAAAGAAGAGTCTGCTGTTAGTTCTCTTAAGTGCAATATGTCCCTTGATTGCAACAATGCTGGTGGCTTTGTGGTCCTATAGAAGAGGGCAAATTAGCAGTCGTAGAGGTCTTCTCTCTGCTCTATTTCTATTTTGTGCAACTTTGCAAGTGTATTATTTGTTACATCTAACAAAGAATATCTTACTAAAATCCTAATTAGTTAGTATTGTTTTTGTAAACCGGTTAGCAAGCTAAAACAGTAAGAAGATGTGAGGCTTGATACATTACTTAAGTCGTATAACCGCCATGGTCAAAGCAAAAACTGTAGATCACATTGAGATGGGAAGTGTCAATGATCAGGAGTTGCCACTTTTTAACTTGCAGGCCATAGAAACTACAACTGATCAATTTGCCATGCAAAATAAACTTGGTGAAGCTGGCTTTGGACCAGTTTATAAGGTTGATGAAGCATATTAGGTTAGTTTCAGTGGATATGGAGCATAAGTTAGATGCTAAAAGCAATTCCATATATTTCAGGGAAAATTGCCCCAAGGTCAAGAAATTGCAGTAAAAAGACTTTCCCAGAGATCAGGACAAGGAGTGAAGGAGTTCATGAATGAGGTCACCCTGATATCTAAACTCCAGCACAGAAATCTGGTGAGGCTTTTGGGATGTTGCATACAAGGAGACGAGTATATATTAATCTACGAATACATGCCCAACAGAAGCTTGGACTCGTTTATGTTTGGTTAGTACTTGACATCTTGCGGTGATCTTAAATTTTTATAAGGTGAAAAATTCATAAGGTCAGATTTTTATCTAAAGTATCTATTATTACACTTATGATCTTTTTGCAGATTCTACCAAACGAACACTGTTAGATTGGACCAAACGTGTATCCATTATTGAAGGAACTGCTCAAGGGCTTCTTTATCTCCATAGGTATTCAAGGCTGAGGATTATTCATCGCGATCTAAAAGCAAGCAACATATTGTTAGACAGTGATATGAACCCCAAAATATCTGATTTTGGAATGGCCAGAATATTTGGAGAAAATGAAACCAGATCAAAGACAACAAAAATTGCTGGAACATAGTAAGTAATATTCTCAAATTATCTTCATTTGCAATTAATTCTGCTTCTTATGCTAGTGCCCAGCCGCATTTCAAGTTTTAACAGAATCTGATGTTCATTTTTCATGCCCAGTGGCTACATGGCTCCTGAATATGCCATGGATGGTCTCTTTTCTGAAAAATCAGATGTATTTAGCTTTGGAATCATTGTGGTCGAGATTATTAGTGGACATAGAAATATGGCCTTCTTCGAGTCTGATAGCTCTCTGAACCTACTTGGCCACGTAAGGAATATTAAAACTTCTTTTCTAGATTTATTTTTGTGCCTTTCCTGGTTCAGGGCAAAACCTATGGCATGCGTTTTGCCATTTTCAAATCCAACTATTTGAAGCCTCAAAATGTCACTTGTATAGTTTGGTTTAGTCTTCAAGCTGTTTGAACTGATAGTATCAGTCTTGAATTTCAGGCGTCGAATTTGTGGAAGGAGGAAAAACCCCTGGAACTTCTGGACTCTGCAGTAGCTAATTCTTCATGTTCAGCAAGTGAAGTTGTTGGATGCCTTCAATTAGGTCTCTTGTGTGTTCAAGACAGAGCTGTAGATCGTCCTTGCATGTCAGATGTCATATCCATGCTTAGAAATGATACCATTGTTGTTCCTCTACCCAAAGAACCTGCATTTCTGGCACAATTCACCAGTGGTACTGACAGTCATTCATCACGAAACCAGAATAGAGATCATTCCAGAAATGAAATAACCGTTTCAGAAGTTCATGGAAGATAGAATTTCGAGATGTTCAGTTAGAAAACATTAGTAATCTGTACATGTTTCATACTTGGTAGCAAAATCCTGTACATGTTCACATCTGTACTTTTTTGCAAAGATGGGAAGTTTGCCCTACAAGAAAGGGGAAGATGATCACAGCAGTTCATATTTCAACTTGACTTTTGTTTTCTCTTTGCGCATCTTGAAAATGCAATTTGCAGTTTAAAGAAACAAAAAAAATATGCAACCTGTTGATTGCATTTAAAGAGGAAAAAAAAAACTCTGAGCAGGAACTCCATTGGGAAAAGCTGAAAGTTGTTTTGTGTCAGATAAAAACTTACTAGCTCTTCATAATTAAGTCAAATGGTACAAATACTGGTGATTAAGTGGTCAAGAAACATTCTGAGAAGTTGGACTTGAAATGTGAACTTTAATTGCTAATTACAATTTACAACTGCAACTTGTTAGTGTTACAACAATTTAACGAAAATTGGGCTCTTTAAACTATCCTTCATAGATAACCATATTAATTGATGTAGCTGATATGCTAAAACTTATTAAATAAGTCATCTGCTTCTGTTGTTTTATGAAGTTGAGGTAACCTGTTTGAACTTGTACATCGACCCTGGAATCGACTTGATCTTAATTTTACAAGTTCAGTGCTCTTTCTTAGAGTTGTTATTGTCCTCATGTACGTTTGAGTAGTATACCCAAGTTCAATTGCTAGTGAAGGATAATTTAGTTGTGGTTCTGCTATCCTTGAGATTTTAGAAGGTGTAATAAGATGCTGCACAACAAGCCTTCTTTTATTTTTATTTTTATTTTTGGATGTTGTCCAAACCATGCAAATAGGAGGTGGAGTCATCAGGTTGGATGTCGTAAACTGAACCAGGATTAGAAGCACTTGATGGATTTACTTGGCCAGCATCAATGACAAACATGTCAGCAGGAAGCATATTTCTTTCAAGTATGAGTCTATGTTATAGTTCAAGATATCGGCAGTTGACATTATTTCAGATTCAATAGCCGCCAGAGACAAACTGTGGTGTAAAGTTTATAGTAAAGCTGCAATACCAGTATATCAGTTAAGTAAAGGCGTGAGATTGAGGTTCCAAAGATTGTGGAAAGAGATGATATTGGTGCATAAGTCCATGCAGCAAAGATGTTAGCACCAGAGCATATAAGGTAGAAGAATGAAGCAACATCAGGCACATATTTACTCCTAAAACTGTTTCCAATGGAACTTATCTAAGCTTGATTGCTTGTCAGGCTGCAAAACTCACTTCGGCTGCCGGAAGGACATGATCTTCTGCGTAATTTGTCTATCCATCAGCCTCCACGTTCATGAGAATCATGGCAGAAACAACAGTACACTACACCTTCTTCCTTTTTCATCTCCTGCAAAATCCTTATCACTTTTGCAGAATTTTACTTTCCCTCTGTTGTCAATGCCTTCCAGTGACCCTGTAGCAGCACTTGCAGCCTTTTAGCAACCATTTATGCCTGGACGATCCAAATGCTATAGTGTCCTTACAAAGACGAGTTGTATCATCTTCACCAAAAGAAAGACTCAAAGCATCAATTCCCCTCGTCAATGGCAGCATCAATAGCAGCTAGAAAAGCACCATCTGGAAAGTGATTCCAAACTCATCACAGACTTGATACAATACAAGGCTGAACAAACAGATGTACCATTTGCTTGTTAAATACATATTGGCATCTTTCACAAAATTTCCAGCAACTCTGCTTGAAGATTAAGTACCATGACAAGCTACCTGGACAGGCAACCCTGGTTTGTAAAAATGCCTTAAGCCAATGAAATTGTTATCACATTCTAATCCATCCAAGTCACATTTACCTTTCCAATTAGCCAGTGGAGGCTGCATTCCTTGATCACCAAAAGATGGATGACCTGGCTGAATTCCACCATCTAAAACCCCTATTATAACACCTTCTCTGAGTCATGCTCCTGGTCAAAATCTAGAATTCTGATTTGGCCGATTAATTTTGGACTTCGGTTTGTACGCAGAGACAAGATCTTTTGAGGCCTGGCATGCAAATAAGAACATTCATTTTTCTCCATTTCTTTTACTTTTTGAGGTGCTAATCTGGCTGCAAAGCCAGTAACAACGTTTCACTTTGCTAAACTGTTCAAGATCTTTCGTTACTGTACTCATGATTAACAGTACACTTGTAGTTTCACTCAATCCCCTTAGTATTCAAACAGTTTTGAACCCAGACTTCAATGTGGGTGCACAAAGATGCTCCAAATTATTTTTAGTCGCCCTTATATTCCTCTTCCTTTTAACTTTCTTTCTGTTTTCTTCTACATTTCCTCTTTCATTTTTTCTTAAATGATCACTATCTTAACTTCCTCACCGAAGCTCCTCCAGCCAAGCTTGCTGTTTAGTATGCTAATTGCTAATGGAAAAGGAAGAATACAATGAAACAGAAGGGAGAAAGAAAAATAAGAGGGAAACTAATCAAAAGAAAAATGATTAACTGCGCGACAATGAGTAAGCAAGATTAGCTGAGAAATGATCCTACGCCTTATTCTGTTATCTTTTTTCTCTACCTCCATGTAATCTGATTGTAGACTTGACGTTCAAGAGATATATTAGCTTTCTTGTATCATCATATATTACTATCACTTTTCTTACAATATCATACATCATCATCACCACGTAGTTTTTGCATTATATGCTTTACAAGTCGCCCTATTAGACTGACCATACCCAAGTATTTGCCTTTGATAAATCTCATGTCCTTATTTAGAAATTTGACGAGGAAAATATATCCTAGAATTTGGTATTGTGTTCTTAGAGCACTAAAATTGGAGTGAAGTGCGCCATGTAAAAAGTTTTTGGGCGCAAGTGTTACCCCCTCAAAGTACAAACTGTTAGTCTAATATTCCCTTGAAGCTAAAATTTTTATGAATTAACTTTTTATACAGTGACTGTAAAGTGACTTTTTTATATTAGCAACTTTAGATGTATATTACATGTGCATGATTTGAATTTCAAATTTTTTGAACTCATGTCATGTGCCATAATCTAATTATGCTAGTGTAAAAAAAATTATATATTGATAGTGTATAAAAAGCTATCCAATTTTTATACGTAGAAAAACTATCAAGAGCTTGAATCAAATTCACATGTATTGTCCAAAGAGAAATGAACTAACTCCAGTTTGCACTCCCAAACTTATGTCACATTTTTCACTTTGCACCCTAAACTTTAATTTTGAACACTTTGTACGCTAAACTCTTAATATTGGATAAAACTCTCGATTTTGTTCCATTTAAGTCTAATCAATTATAACAGTAGTAAAATTAATGGCATAAAGAACCATACAAATCAATGACAATGTATTAAAAATGATTAAAGGAGCCAAGGGAACACAATTAGAAGAAAACGATACATTATCATTAATTTGCATTGTCCTTTGTTTTGTTAACTTTGCTAACAATATTAATAATTTGGACCATACAAATCAATGACAGTGTGCTGAAAATGGTCAAAATAAGTTAAAGGATCGCAGTTAGAATAAACTATACATTGTTATCAATTTACACTGCACTTTATTTTGTTACTTTTGCTAATTTTGTCATTTGTTGGATTTTAATGGAACAAACTTGATAGTTTAAGATACAAATTGTCTAAAATTGAGAATTTAGGGTGTAAAGTATTTAAAATTGAAGTTTAGGGTAAAAAATGGGAAAATGATACAAGTTTGAGGGTGTAAAATGGAGTTAGTCCAAGAGAAATGGCTACCTGAGTTGTCAATATTCTTGGGTTTACACCTTTTAAAGATCAAATTCCACACTGACCAGATCAAAATACTAATTGGGACTAACTCCACTTTACCCTTTTAAATTTCTTTCACTTTCTCACATTTCATCCTAAATTTTAATTTTGAGCATTTTGCACCCTAGACTCTTAATTTGGATACTTTGCACCCTAAACTCTCAATTTTGTTATATTTAAGTCTAATCAATGAGAAATTTAGTAAAATTAATGGCATAAAGGACACTACAAATTAATTACAAGATGTTGATAATGGTCACAAGGAGCATATGCATCATAGTTTAAACAAAATGATACATTATCATTAATTTGCATAATCATTTTCTCATCAATTTGGCTAATAATATTGGTGATTGAAACCATAAAAATCAATAACAAGGTATTGAAAGTGGTTAAAAGGAGCCATGGAATTGTAACTAGAACAAAACTATACATTGTCATTAATTTACACAAT